AGGAAATTTTAGTGCAATTCTCTTGCATGGGGTGCAGGGCTTTTGATATACTTACCTTACTTCTGAGGTGGTGAAAGGGGTACTTGTGTGTCTACAAATTCACTCTGCGGCCTTGGCAGGTTCCAACACTCCAATTAAAAACCCAGTGGAAGACATTTAAGGTAAATTCTCTCACGGGTCCTTTCCAAATCGGGAGATCAGCTGAAGAGGCTGCGGAGTGCTGAAGAAAAGTTTACTGGAAATGAAAATGTGCACACCAGTCTTGGCCACCTCACATGCTCCAAGCCCCATGCCCACTGAAACTCTAAAGAGCCCCGAGAATGAGGTAGAAAAACAAAAGCCTCATTCTCAGAGGAAGGAAAAAAATGAGAAACTGGAGGACAGATTCTGGCACTGTGCTACCAAGAACACACAGCAAACACCATGGTTGAAGATGAATTTGAGCCCACTCAGGGTCTAATGGTCTATCTATTACACCAAGAATAACTTCAGCTGATTTCAGCTGATTTCTTTCTGTTTCCTTTCTTTGCTTCCCATTTTAATCACAGATCTCCCATTTTTCCCTCCAAAAACAAGAGTCTCTCTGACACACGCCGACACCCCAGAGTGTTTCTTGCTGCATGGCTATTTGATGATGGCATGCCTTATTTTTAGAATAGCTTTCATTTTCAGCACTGGCTTTCTAATAACTACCCAGGCTGGATATTTATCAGTAAAGACATGCTTTATAGCTGAAGAGTTAGACAAAGCAGGGTTTTTTCCCCCTCCAATGCTGAAATTCTCACTTAGGCGGCGGGGGTGGGGGGGAGCAGGGACATTTAGCTGGTAATTTTCACACATGGAGTAATAATGAGAAACAGTATGTTCTCACTTGAGTAATAAATGGCAATTTGGAAATAAAAAAGCAAAAATGTTACAATATGAGGAGCTAACCTATGGCATCACATCCCTTGACCATTGGCCATGTTGTCTTCGGGATGAGAGGAGTTAGAAGTCCAACAATATCTGGAAGGTACCTCAGTTTTACTGCCATTTCTTCCCTTTGAATTTCTCTTTACTGCCACCCCATCCCCAGTGACATTTCATGTCTTCTCAAAATTAAACAAAACTAAAGCACTGGCACAAAGAAGACTTGTGCAACAGTAGATCCATGCTCAATCTAGACCAGTGGTGGCCAAACTTGGCCCTCCAGCTGTTTTCGGACAACAACTCCCATCATCCCTAGCTAACAGGACCAGTGGTCAGGGATGATGGGAAATGTAGTCCCAAAACAGCTGGAAGGCTGAGTTTTGGCCACCACTGATCTACACCGTATATGGGCATCTGTTGTGTCATGTCTCATCTGAGGAAGTCCTCATCAGAGGAGAACCAGGAGGCCCCAGCCTTACACCATGCCCTGGGTCATGCTCCATCTGGGAGGCAAGGAGCTGGGCACCTGCAATGAGGCTGAGGGGGCCTGTCCACACCCAGTGTGAGTTCAGCTTCTGACATCAAGGCCAACTGGGTCCCAGGTCTGAGGGGAAGGGTACCTTAAACTCAACCCATCTGGAGAAGTGTCCAACTAAAGATAAAGATTCCTGAGGAGCAAGACCAGCCTCTCAAGGAGCCCTTCAGAGAGCTGCAATTATCAGGGTGATATAACAATCAATCCTTCACAGGGAACTGTAGGAATTGTAGCCCTGTGAGGGGAATGAGGTCTCCTAACAACTCTTGGCAACCTTAACAAACTACAGCTCCCAGAAGTCTTGGGGGGGGGGAATCATGGCTGTTTAAAGTAGTATCATAGTGCTTTAAATGTATGGTGTATGTGGCCATAGCTGATAGGGAAGTCTTGTGCAGCAAACCCTCTTCTCCGAAAGATCTGACTTTGCTAAAGGAAAGCGATGGGAAGATACACTGGAAAGTGTGGGGTAACACTTGCTTTGCTGCAATGTCATCTAACCTCCCTGCAAACAAATCAGAATAAATCAGTGCTTGGAATGAACAAATTCACTTTAACAAAGGGAACAATCTCATACACAAGAAGCTGGCATAAAGCAAGCTGTTGTAAATGACACCAGATCCAAATTCCGTTCAGCAGCAGGACTACTGCTTACTGCTACTGCTATAAAATTGCTCACCTATTCACTGAATTTATTCAAAAATAACCAAATTTCACCTGAAAGTAGTTCCTATAATTTCAGAGCAAACACAACAAAAATTAAGTTACATTTGGGCAATTCCTAATTCAATTCCATTTCAATTCAACAATTTCTGTGTGTGTGTGTGTGTGTGTGTGTGCGCGCGCGCACGCACACGCGCATATGTGTATGTGTGACATACCCTCCAACATTTCTCCGATGAAAATAAGGACATCCCATTCCATAATGAAAATTTTACTATTTATACCCCACACATCTGACTGGGTTGCCCCAACCACTCTGGGCAGCTTCCAACATATATAAAGACACAATAAAACATTAAACATTTTAAAAAACTTCCCTATACAGGATTGCCTTTAGACGGCTCAGCGGTCGGATAACTCCATACCCTCCAGCATTTCTCCAGTGAAAACATGGACAACCTAAGGAAAAGAGGGACACTGCAGGATCAAATCAGAAACTGGAACGGCTTCTTTAAATCAGGGATGTGCCTTGAAAATAGGGACACTTGGAAGGAACTTCAGGTGTAGTTTTCAGGTAAAGGTAAAGGACCCCTGACAGTCCAGTCGTGAACGACTCTGGGGTTGTAGCGCTCATCTTGCTTTACTAGCCGAGGGAGCTGACATTTGTCCATAGACAGTTTTTCCGGGTCATGTGGCCAGCATGACTAAACCGCTTCTGGCGAACCAGAGCAGCACACGGAAATGCCGTTTACCTTCCTGCCAGAGCAGTACGTGTTTATCTACTTGACTTTGACGTGTTTTCAAACTGCTAGGTTGGCAGGAGCAGGGACCGAGCAATGGGAGCTCACCCCGTCGCAGGGATTCGAACCGCCAACCTTCCGATCGGCAAGCCCTAGGCTCTGTGGTTTAACCCACAGCGCCACCCGAGTCCTAAGTTTTCAGATTTTGGAAATAATTCAGTAAATTTTGTTAAAGCAAACTAGCCCATTCCAGTTGCTGCATCTGAAGGGCACCAGATTTGGGTAAAGCTGTAAAAAGTCTTGTCTTACATTCCCTGCCAGTTCCTGGGTTTCCCCCCCTGAAAATAAAACACGGCCTCTAAGCTTTGACAGATGGCAACACATTCACTTGTACTACAAGAAATAGATTTTGAAGGGAGATGCTTTGAAAGCACAGCCTTTCCTGCCATCTCTTCTATCTCTTCCTTCTTCACCCACTTCAGAAAGTCTAAACTGTGAACATCAAGTGTCGGCACTTTGGTATAAAGCGCATCCACACATTGAGGTACATGATGGCACATTTCCCATCAAGCTAAATATAACCTTAGAGCTCAAATGCTGTATCCCCATAACACTGGCAGATGTTAGGGCTGATTTACTGTAAGGTAATACATGTGAATCAAATCTGATTTTTAAGGTAATTTGATTTGGAAGCAAATGTTTTGTTACACGTCACCCCACCCCAATCTCCAAGCTTCCCCCAAAGTATTCTTGTCTCTAATGAATGGACTTCAGGAGAAGACATATCTGGGTATCCGTATTGTTGATTTTTATTGTATAAATCTTAGTTTTCAAAGTGCTCAGTTTTCATCTTTCTCCAGGGTGGTTTTTAAAGGAGCTCTTCTTTCAAAACAGATTTGCAAGTGGCAGCAGAATTCACACCATGGCAACTCGCTGTTCTACGAGCTAGACTGGGATGTTTGAAAGCCATTATAAGCTAGGGTGAAAGACAGATATTTTGAATCTATCATTACACTGTGACCTGAAAAATGAAGCTCTCCCCCCACCTCCCACTTCAACAAATTGTTATTTTGAAGTGGAGTTGTTGAGCCAGGTCTAGTGCCTCAACGTCTAAGTAAGAACAGCATTGTGACTTTGTGGTAAGTGGAGACGAGATTATGTGACTTGGGAGTAATGTACTTTAAAGGTGGCGGGGAGTTACAGTAGAACATTGCTGTCTGCAGGAAAGTTTCTCCAGCAACTTCCAAAGATCTCAGAAACCCAGTGTGTAGCAACTTCTAGGGTTCCCTGGGAAGAGTGATTGACTGTTAAACTACTCTGGGTCTCCTAATAACTTCCAGAACCCTTAACAAATCAGAGCTCCCAGAAGATACATCTAGGAACTTCTCACCCCACATAAACCAATCCAGACTCTGTATTCATCATCTGAGACTCTTCTATGTGTGCCTCTTCCACATGAGTGGCTGGAGAAACCCAGCCAGATGGGCGGGGTATAAATAATAAATTATTATTATAAATTATTATTATTATTATTATTATGAGGTCTGGAGGGTGGCAGCACAAGAGTGGGCCTTTTCTACAGTGGCTTCCCATCGGTGGAATGCTCTCCCCAGGGAGATTCATTTGTCAACTTCATTAGATATCTTCAGGCACCAGGTAAAAATGTTCCTCTTTAACCAGGCCTTTGGCTGATTAATATCCTACAGCATTTCAAATGTGTTTGCGGAAAGGGGTGGTGGTTATTGTTCTGTTGTTTTTGTTTAAGCTATTTATTTGTGATTTTACTTTGTATTTTATCTTGTGAACCACCCTGAGATCTTATGATGAATGACGGTATACAAATCAAATAGACAGACAGACAGACAGATACAGATACTTTGGGGAAAGCCATGATGGCTTAAAGTGGTATCATAGCACTTTTAGCATATGGTTTGAATGCGGCCTGAACAGAGAAATGAGCTGGAACTAGCTGTATGGGCAGCAACCAAAAAGGCATTTCACATTTAGTTTGGTCCTGTTACCATCCCACCAAGGGAAAAAGAGGATTTTACCGCCCATCTGAAACACAGGAAAATCCATTGTACTGAATCAGGTCGTTTGTTCATCTAGTTCTGTACTGTCTACACACTGACTGGCAGCAGCTCTGCGGGGGTCTCTCCCAGCCCTACCCAGGGGTAGAACCAGGGACCTTCTGCATGCAAGGAAGATGCTACACCACTAAGCTACAACCTTCCGCTGGTCTAGCTGTCTGTAAACCATAAGGTAGACTGCAGTAAAATTGTCATCCGTCTCCAGCCTTGCCCATGCAAGACACACAGATGAAATATTCAACAGTTTGGCAACCTGACTCCTTTGGAATTGTTGGATGTCTGTTCAGCGGTATTATGTGTTATTTCAGAAGGTATATTTATGTTAACCTCATTTCTAGCTCTTACTCCTTCAAGCTGCATTCAATTTACCTTATACATAAGCTGAGCCTGAGATATATTTCAGAGAATCCCTCCCTGCTTCATTTCCTTTGCAGAAAAGGTTGTGTGTGTGGTTTGTTTGTTTGTGGGTGGTTTTTTTGCTACCACTCTTGATGGATGAATACATTTGTGTACAGATTGAGAACATGCACACTCTATGTGAGACGAATAAAGAAATAGTCCTGGGCTTCTGTTTCTTTCTGAACTGTCTGCTATTTCTGCTGCAGAATCCATGCCATTAAGCATTTCAACTCCGGCCCATCACACAGTCTTCAAGAGAGTCGCCTTTTACCTCCAAGTTAAGGGCAGCAAAGCGGAGGTGGTGGTGGCAGAGAAACAGCAATGTGAAATTCTCTTTGAATGCTTGTCTGAAATATTTTCCCCTGTACCGGGAAGAAGAGCAGAATGACGAGGGCACTGAAATGTTACCAAGCAAATCAATTGTTCACCGTACGAACGGGATGGGTGATGGTGGTCTATGTGCATGCTGACAAGAGATTCTGACTGTGACAGAACCTGAGAAGCATAGTGTGTCTTGTGTTTAATGAACGAAGCGGAAGTCTATTAAAAATACATAGAAACATTTTTGAAAACAAGACTAGGGATCTCATCAAGGGGGTCCATGACATGCCTCTGTGTGTGATGCTGGTGAGCTATTCACACGCTCAACAGAGTTTTGGGGGAGCAGCTTCAGCTCAGTGCTGGAGCATGTGCTCTACTTGCAAAAGGTCCCAAAATACAACTAGTATCTTTAGGTAGGGCTGAGAACGTCCCCTGCCTGAAACCCTGGAGAGCTGCTACCATTCAGTGTAGACAACAATGCACCAATGTTCAGTCTCAAGAGAAGACCGCTTCCTGTCTTCCAACAGATAAGATGCTTCAGGCACGCAAGAGTTACTTGATCTTCTCCAGTCCACTCTGCCCTGCAAAGCTTAGTCCAAAAGGCTTCTGGGACCTCTCATGTGGGCTGCCAAGAACACAATGGGGCTAAAGCGATGAGCTGTTGGCATGCTGGAGGGAAGATTCTGGATGAGTCCAGCAGAGCTTGAGAAGGCAGCCCAACCGAGAGTAGGGATGAGGGAGGAATTGGTCTGGACTGCTTTCCACAACCCATGAGTGGAGTTGTGCTGCAACGTAGGAAAGCAACAGAATTGTTTTGGCCTTCTCCCTGAAGCCGCAGTACTAGACCCAGCTATTCCTGACAGCCACAAGCAGTGCAGTCACACTGAGCTTCATTGGTGTCCCTTCAGGTGGGTTGCTAGTAAAGGGGGGAGCACTATAATATATCCACACACCCGTTTCGTAAACACCTCCAGTTTATCCCCTTCCATTTTGGTGTAAGTGGCTGCTGTTATTTATCTGAGACTAGGACTTCCTGTTATGGGCCTATCTCCGCATCTAAGATAAGATGTTCCAATGATTGCTCGTACTGCTGATTGCCTGTATTCCTTACACAAAATGACTGAAAGGCTGAGTTTGTTCTGCAGTCAAGCTTTCTTGCTGAATGCCGGAAAAAGCCATCTGATTATAATGACACTGGATGCTACTCTCCAGGCTCATGGTTGACCCAGAAGTGAATGCTAATCAGAATGGAGCCTTTCTTCTCAACCATTAACCTTTATTCCCAAAATATTTTTTGCCTCCTCAGTGCTAACCTTATCTTCGATATAGAAATTAGGAAGGTTGTCACTGAGCTGGAAGTGCCCCTCCCCCTTCTTACCAAGCTTCTCCATTTTTGCCTATTTTTATTTCCTTAAGTACAAGCTCCTTAGTGTGTGAAGAAGTCCCCCCACCCTCGCTTCACTTCTCCTTCCTTTGAACTACCAAGGATGTGTCATTAACATTTTCTTTCTCATCATCAGGGAAAAGATGACAATGCCAGCCTTGCTCCATTCATATTCAGAATCAGCTGCCAGAATTATCCATCTAACAATATGCTGAAATAGTCTCTTATTATTTGGTCTTTGAAAATCAATGGGAGCAACTGTTACTGTTACTGTTATAATTTTCCTACCTCCCATAAGATCATATGAAAATGCCTATTGTGTGTGTGTATTCTAATTTTCCTCTAATCCTCCAATTTTCTGTTTTATTCATTTTTATAAGCTTTTATGTGTTTACATACTGATTTTTATTGGTTTTAGTTTGTCTTTGTTCCTGTTTTAACATTTTAATGAAATATTATTTTTAGGCAGTACACAGCTTAGGGATTTTTGAAATGTTGTGGTTAATAAATGCTTTTAATATGTACTACATAATATTGTGTGTAGGCTTGTGACCCTTCTCACATTGCTCAACTACCCCACCTACCTACACCCTCTGCCAAACCCTCCCTTTACACCCAGTTCAAATGGCAGCCACAAGAACTGCAGCATGATGACAACCTTACTATTTTATTATATACTAAGTTGTGCATGTGTGTGTAATCCTCACTGGGACCTCAGGGTGAAGGACAGTAATAAATATTATTATTTATGTGACACACATTATATCATTATGGTCCTGGAAGATGGGAGTGGCTATCTAGGGATGTGGATGAAACTCATTGCTCTCTGCCCCTGCCCCATCATCAAATCCAAGTAGGGCAGGTATGTGGGGAAACTTTGGCTCTCCAGAAGATGCTCCCATGAGCCCCAGAAAGCATGCCCACATTTCCAATAGGTTGGGATTTGTAGTTCAGCAAGATCTGGAGGGTCAAAGCTTATCCACACTTGCAGTAGACCCTTCAGGTGTTCCAGTCATGAAGGTGCAATGCAAATAAGAAAGGGGTGGGGCTCCATCCAGCATTCCCATCCTTGGCTGTCAAGTTTTGCAATAGGAACCTCTTCTGCTTGTGGAGGCTCCCTGCACAGTTAAGAATCCCGGGAGATCAGGGGTCTCAACCATGTGAGGAGTTTTGCCATTGCAGATGCTGTCGTTAGCAGCCTTATATTTATAGGTCTGTGTTTTTATATTTTCCTTGTTCTTTACTGATTTTACTGTATGTGGCTTTGGGTCACTCTGTGAAAAAAGCAACTGAAAAATATAATAAACAGCAGTAGTTGCTACCGCAGCAGTAAGAACATGGGGAAGCAAGCGGGAGCTGCAGGGATTGGGCTGAAATCATGGGGCCACTGCACTGTCCTGCTTGCATTGCACCTTCATGACCTGAAGAAGCTTCTCTCCATTCTCCCCCCACCCCAATTTTAAAGAATTTTAGTTGCTAATGGAGTGAAACCCTTTGGATCAGAAGTAGCCGATATGATGTAGGACACACTTCCCACCATCCCTGACCATTGACCATGCTGGCTTGGGTTGATGGGAGCCCAAAATATATATGGAGGGCATCATTGGCTACACCAGCTTTGGAATTTTGTGGAGGTTTAATATCTGTGACTCTTTGGAGCTGCTGTGAGCTTTGTTTTATGGTGGTTGTTCTCTATGGCTGGTTTCACGGTCCACCTTATTTTATGGTTTCATCTTTGTATCATAGATGTCAACTTTTCCCTTTTCTTGTGAGGAATCCTATTTGGAATAAGGGAATTTCCCTTAAAAAAAGGGAAACGTTGACAGCTATGCTTTGTATGCAACTGTTTTTAACTTTTCTGTAAATATGAGACCTTTGGGTATACGGCGGTATAGTTTTTTTTTTAAAAAAATAGTAAATATTATCCCCAGGGATAATATTATCCTCCCGGGGCAGGGAGAGCTGAGAAAAAGTGGCTTGTCTACAGTTATCTTGTAAGTCCCTGGTAGAGTTGGGGTCTGAACCGAGGGCTTTCTGAGTTGTAGCTCAGTAGTTGGTCTTAGGCACTGACACTACAGTAGCTCATGCTTCATGGGGTGTGATAATTTTCTGGAAAATGTATTCAGGCTTAGCTATTTGAGACTAGCTTTTCACAAAAGGAGGTAGATTCCCACCACCACCTCATTGAATGATACCAAATATGTTATTAATTTATTTCTGGGTAATAAACACTGGAAAAAAATTGTTGGAGACATGGCCTGTGGTGTTCTGGTTTTGGTCAGAAATTATTGCTCCTACCAACTGTGCCTCAGCTTGAGCTGAGGCTCGAATACTTTGGCCACCTCATGAGAAGAGAAGACTCCCTGGAAAAGACCCTGATGTTGGGAAAGATGGAGGGCACAAGGAGAAGGGGACGACAGAGGACGAGATGGTTGGACAGTGTTCTCGAAGCTACCAGCATGAGTCTGACCAAACTGCGGGAGGCAGTGGAAGACAGGAGTGCCTGGCATGCTCTGGTCCATGGGGTCACGAAGAGTCGGATATGACTAAACGACTAAACAACAACCAACTGTGCCTGGGATAAAACTTTGATAATCTGTGGGTGATCACTCTTAAATTTCATTCCTTGGGTATGAGGACTAACACATGGACAACAAATGTGAATGCTGTAAGAATTTATGGTGGATGAAAGACTTAGGCTAATTCCAAGAGTGGTTTAACAATCAATCCCTCCTCCCAGGGAACTCTGGGAATTGTGGCCCTGTGAGGGAAACAAGGCTCCTCTAACCTAACAACTTGAAGCCTCCTTAAAGAACTATAGTTCCCAGGATACTTTGAGGGAAGCCATGACTGTTTAAAGTGGTATGATACTGCTTTAAATTTATAGTACAGATGGGACCTTGTACTGAAAGGGTAGAAGAACAAACACTATCTGTCCTCCTCTATCTTCCATGATTTGAAGATGTCACTGCCCTTTCTACACGTTGGGGCCTATGTCTTATAATGGTCAATTTCATTTACACACCTATTTGGACTTCTTATTTAA